CCATTTATCTCCCTGCGTTTAGTTGAGCTCTATCAGTGTGGGTGAGTTGCATGAGCCCGTTAACATTTCATCCCATGTATGGTTTATTTGTCTTCTGATCTTGATAACCTAAGTGCAGGAGGAGCAGGGGCAGCAGGTAACAGACTGGGTGTTCCAGCTGGATCGGGGAGGGAAAAGGAAGGTTAGACTTCAGAGACGAGTTTACCGTGAATGAAGCGTTGTGCAGCACAAAAGACACGTGTCCTGTACAAGGCCGAATTTTTCATTTTAAACTGAGCACCTAGCAGTAAGGAGTAGCACACGGCAGAGCTTCGGGCAGCTGAGCTCTGCTGGCAGATATGGTAAACAATATGTTGAGTGCTCCTTTGGTTCCTCTTTGAAAACATGCCTGGGGTGGGGGGAGGGGCGATTTTGCAAGAGATCCCCCTCTCCCCCAGCATGGCTGCAGACTTGAATGTGTGTGTGTGGGGAGGGGGGAATGCAGCAGTTTGGGAGTGTAGGGGCTTGTAGCACGGCCCTCTCCTTCCTCCCTCCCCCAGCATGTCTGTTCTCCAGGATGGTCCCTTCAAGCCCATCGCAAACAGGGCAACAAACCTGGGGTTGTCATTTGCGAGGGGTGAGCAAACAGAGATGGATTGCCTCGGTGCTATCAATTACAGAATCTTCCCCATTTCACTAGGTCATCATACAGGATACCAGTCTTCTCCAAATCAGAGACCATGATAGGGAGCAGATGCTATACGAATGGGGCCAGAAACCTGGCCCTCGTGCTGCGCTAGTGCCAGATCACTTGCTGGTGACTTGGTGTAGTAAGGTGACTTACCGTGGAAGATGGAATAAGGCTGTCCTCCCCCAAAACCTTCTGCAGAAGAATTAAAGAGCGCCTCCATGAGAGCTTTGTAGAGATGTGCAGGAAGGATTCCTGCTCTATCTCCAGACATGTTAACATACGTTTCCAGGAGCTCCTGCTGGGTAGGTGGACTCGCTACCAATGTATCTCAATTGTGCAGGGCAGATCAAAGAATAAACCCAATTACATTTAGCTACTCAAGCATGATTACAAATGGGAACTCACACATCGAGGCCTCCCCCCATCAGCATCCAGCAGCAATAAGTCCTGGCAGAGGATTGGCTCCAAAGTTAGAGAAATGTCCTGGTTGTCAGAGAGATGGGATCTTCCGCTTGTCTGCTGAGCACTGGTCTCCTCCTCCTCTTCCTCTACAATCCAATCTGATTAGCTTCTGTGATAAGGTAACTGGCTCGGTGGACATGGGAAAGTCAGTGGATGGTTCTATACCTTGACTTTAGCAAGGCTTTTGATACGGTCTCCCGCAATATTCTTGCCAGCATGTTAAGGGAATGTGGATTGGATAAATGGACAGTAAGATGGATAGAAAGATGGATAGAAGGCTGGGCCCAGCGGGTAGTGATCAACGGCTCTGTCAGGATGGCGGTCGGTTTCTAGCAGAGTGCCCCAAGGTTCGGTTCTAGGACCGGTTTTGGTCAATATCTTTATTAAGGACCTGGATGAGGGGATGGATTGCACCCTCAGCAAGTTTGCGGATGACACTAATCTAGGGGGAGAGGTAAATACGCTTGAGGGCAGAGATAGGGTCCAGAGTGACTTAGACAAATGGGAGGATTGGGCCACAAGAAATCTGATGAGGACAAGTGTAGAGTCCTGCACTTGGGACAGAAGAATCCCAAGCATAGTTACAAGCTGGGGACCAACCAGTTAAGTAGTAGTTCTGCAGAAAAGGACCTGGAGGTTACAGTGGATGAGAAGCTGGATATGAGTCAACAGTGTGCCCTTGTAGCCAAGAAGGCTAATGGCATATTAGGTTGCATTAAGAGGAGCATTGCTAGCAGATCCAGAGATGTCATTATTCCCCTTTATTCAGCTTTGGCGAGGCCACATCTGGAGTATTGTGTCCAGTTCTGGGCCCCCCACTACAAAAAGGATGTGGACGCATTGGAGAGGGTCCAGCAGAGGGAAACCAAAATGACTTATGAGGAGAGGCTGAGGGAGTTGAGTCTGTTTAGTCTGCAGAAGCAAAGAGTGAGGGGGGATTTGATAGCAGCCTTCAACTTCCTGAAGGGAGGTTCCAAAGAGGCTGGAGAGAGGCTGTTCTCAGTAGTGACAGATGGCAGAACAAGGAGCAATGGTCTCAAGTTGTGGTGGGAGAGGTCCAGGTTGGATATTAGGAAAAACTATTTCACTAGGAGGGTGGTGAAGCACTGGAATGGGTTACCTAGGGCAGTAGTGGAGTCTCCATCCCTAGAGGTGTTTAAGTCTCGGCTTGACAAAGCCCTGGCCGGGTTGATTTAGTTGGGATTGGTCCTGCCTAGAGCAGGGGACTGGACTTGATGACCTTCTGAGGTCTCTTCCAGCTCTATGGTTCTATGATTCTACAACTGTGGTTCTCATGGTTCTCAACCAGTGGTCCATGGTGACTTTTTTGGTGATCCACAGGAACATCGTGCAAAGCCAGACGGCGTGAGCAGGAGCCACCGTTAGGCTGTTTTGTGCCATGTTCACAAGCACGTGGCACGTCATCCATAGCGTCACCTAGGGCGCAACTGTGATGTGTTGCCAGTAATTTCCATCTGATGCTCTGAGCATCAGTGTAGCTGCCACCGCCGTGCTGAGCAGTTGCTGTGCTGTTCGACCTATGCTACATGTGCTGGAGGTTGTCCACAAAATTTTTTTGATTGGCCTGGTGGTCTGTGGACTGAAACGAATTGAGAACCACTGCTTTACAGTGTCCTGCTTGATGTTGCCTGAGGCTGCCTGAAGAGTCACTTGGGAAGTATCTACAAGCAGTTTTGGATCAATGGTTGGGTCCTCTGCAGAATCCCATGCAGCTGCTCATAGAAGCTGCATGTCTGAGGGTCTGACCCCGACTGACCGTTTGCCTCCTTTGTCTTCTGCTACACTTGCCTGAGCTCCTTTATTTTCACCTGGCCCTGTTGGTGTCCCTGTTGCATCCTTTTCCCACCATCCCTGTGCGATTTTTGACACGGTTGCAGCGTTTCGTCTGCTGGTTCAGTGTTCTTCCTGCACAGATTCCTCTCCCCACACAGCAATCCGATCCAGGATCTCCTGCATACTCCTTGCTGTAGCTTGTTTGCTACCCTGGGCATTCGTGGTCAGGTTTGCTGCTCCGCTTGCCATGCTCGCCAAAAAGGAAATAAATTCAAAACTTCCTGGGGCTTTTCCTGTGCACCTGGGAGAGCAGCAGAGCTAAAAGTGCTAGCCACAGCAATCACATTGGGGCACTGTGGGACACTTTCCAGAGTCCAAAAACATCACATTGAAGCACTGAGCTGCACTACCCAGATCTGGTCCTGAAAAGTCAAATCTAGTGCAACTCCCTTGGTCAAGGTTCATAACAAAATCAACATAACACGGCTAACTTCGACCTAACCTCACAGTGCAGACAAGACGGTTCATTAACTAGTCAGTCTGTTGGACAAGTCAAGCATAAAATCAAGGATTCTTTCCAATGTTTTAGAAAGCCACTTCTTGTTATTGGCAAACTTCAACTTTCCTATTCTTTAAGGCTTGCTGGGGGGAGAAATAAGGAAAGAAACAGCCAACTTGCTTTATTTTGTTGATCAATGAAATTCTTTAAAGACCTCTAAATTAAAATGCTATAGTATCTTTGTCTTTTCCTTACTGTTGTAACCCAGGTTTATAAACTCAGAGGTTTACAAAGCTCTGTAGTACCTGGACCCTGCATATAGGTTTTAAATGTACTAATGGCTTTGAGCTAACCAGACTCAGGTGTTTCATCTCAGGCAGTGGTGGCTCAGGTCCCAAGTTTGACTTCCTACTGAGTCCCCACAGGCATCAAGTTACACTGTTACTTTTGATATTTCCTTGAATAAAATCCCCCTTCTTTCAGATCCTCCAAGAAAAATAGGCATTCTCTGCTTTTCTTCCAATCCACAAACCTACAGATGACTTATAACAAGCTTTTGTTTAAATACTGATATCTTTGGAAACTAACAAGATAAAATCATAATTGTGGAGGGCTGTTTCTGAGAGGTAACCATTTCATTCATTCATTCATTCATTCATTCTCTCTCTCTCAGTGTGAGAGAGAAGTACTTGCAATATTCTGTGTGTCCGTTTTTGTTGTAATTATAAATGCATTTTGCTTGATCTGATTAAATTAACGTTACCTTACATATGTGCTTATTTCCACCTAGTTTTTTTATATTGTCCCCATAATAGTGATATCTGAGCATCTAGTTAACTTCATAATTCTCTGAAATCCAAATATAAGCTAATATGCAATTCAGTGCTTTCACGTCACAGTACCACAAGTGCTGTGTTTTGGGACCGGATTTATACAAGGCAGTTGCTTGAGGAACTCTGAAGTTTAGGCTGATACGCTATAATTCTGTTTGAGGCCATCAGGAACTGTTGTTCTGCTTGGAGAGTCTACAACTGCTAAAGTTGCCAATGGTTCCTTTGTTCCTCTTCCTGAGAAACCTACAGAGCGACAGGGAAAGGAGAATGCCAGAGAGCTGGCCAAACAAAGTAGCAGAAACAACCCCACACCTCTTGTCACTACGGGAGGAATCCATAAAGCAGAATAAGGAAAAAATTCCAGAAATGCAACTTTCTTTCTGCTATCTTATCCTACCTGGAGAGCAGGGAAAGGACATAAAACCTGCTCTCTCTACAAGGTTGAGTTCGGCGGCGGAAGTCTGTAATGGGGATCAGAAACAAAGTGATTTCTCAAGATTGATAGAATTTGTGCAGCTGGCAATATATCACAATATCTGAATAGTTATTACACTTCTTTGAGGGGAAAGAATGCGTCACTGCTCTTACACTGTTCAGTAACGATAGCTTAACACTTGACTGGTCCTGAAAGAAGCTTTCTCAAATAGGGAGGTGGTCTTCATTTAACCTCGAGCATTGAAGTCTATTTTCTGCTTTGAATTCTACACTAAAGTTCATTGTCTTTCTTTTTTTGGTATTTAAGGTCCCACGCAGAATGATGGTTCCAGAGCAAGAAATGACACAAGGTAGGAGTTATTTTCTTGCCTGAGTCATTTGTGCTGCTTTTAAATTATTATAGCAGTGCAGTGTTGCCATTATACTTGATATTGCATTATGACTTTGGGTTTAAAAAGTCATCCTTTTAAGTACACTAAAATCGATATGCTCAGATTCCTTTGAGGTTTGGAGTATCTCCAGAGAGAGCAGAGTAAGGTTATCAGTCCAAATTTGCCTCCATTCTGTGTAAGTTATTTCTGCACAAAGGTAGAGATTACATTGTTGATGTGATATGAGTCAAAATGGTTTCTTTCAGTCTTTTGAGTTTCACCCAAGGTAGTGAATCTTTGGGTCACGCAAAATGAGAATGGCATTTAAGAAAAAAGTATCTTTTTCTGTATTTTTTTTTTCAGCAGTACAGAAAAATGGCTGGAAGGTTTTAATTCCTGCAGTTTTGCATGCTTTAGTGCTCTACTCTTGCAAGTGCACTAAAATCCTAATACAGGTTGAACCTCTCTAGTCTGACATTCTCTGCTCTGGCAACATCCGTGGTCCAGCATGATTTTAGATAGCTGGATGTCCACTTAGCATGGATAAGGACAAGTTTTCTGCAGTTTTATAAAGTTTGTTTACAGCCACCAGTCCTGGCTTTCAGTGTTCCGTGCTGTTGTTTAGCTCTAATTTACCCCTTCCAATAGTCCAGTAATCAGGGGAAGTGTTGGGAATGCTGCTAGATAATATTGACTTGCAAGTATTGGTTTGGCAAATTCTCTGGTTGAGCACTGGTCAGGCTCTGAGGATACTGGGATGACTTTGAAATTTGGATCTCTAATGAGGTAAGTATTTCATTCATTTGGCCAACAGGATCTTGAGTTGCAGGCCTGCTCCAAAAATAGGTTTCCTTCTGCTGCCTTGTACAGTTAAACTGATAAGTACTAATGACTGATTGAATCTCAGACCTTGCTGAGATTAATAGCCATGAACCCACAAAGCTAGTTCTTCTCCTTCCAGGTCTTGTCTGTCTATAGACCTGCTCTGGTTTACATAAGCTGGTTTAGTTAAATCAGTGCAAATCCATGTGTTGACATACTTCATTTGGTTTTAAAGTGTTTATTTTGATTGAATTAAATTTTGCTCCTAATTGCTTTAGACTGAATGGAAATAACTGTGTCCATTGTTCCACTACAATGCAGTTCTTGTAAGGGGTCTTGATCTTCTTGAAACAGTCTCTTTCCACATCATGGCCAGTTCTGTGAGGGTTCTGAGTACAAAGAACTGAAAGTTTGAACTTGACTCTGTTTAGTAGGCAAGTTGCTGCATTTTGAACCAATTAGATGCATAAAGGGGACTTTTTCATTCTAACATACCAAGGATGCTTTACATCCTATCACATGTTGAAAAGCCATCTCTGCTGCTGAGGCATTATGTTAGTTTGGCATGCCCCCAAACAGGAGGACATATCTGCCCTCAGAGCTTTTTTATCAGCTATACAAACATCTGAATAACTTGAACAATCTCCATGCCAGCTAGAATTATATGATGCTCGGTGAGGATTTATCTTGGAACAGCCTATGTTTAGCGTCTAATACAAACTGATTCTAGAATTTGTGGCTAGCATAGCTGTTCTTTTGTGTCAAATGACTTTTTACCCTCCCTGGCTTGATTTTGATATTTATGCACAAGGATAAAATACAGTGCTCTAGACCTTAACATTTAAAATCCTGATAACATGTTCTGGTACTGAGCAAAAACTATGCTTTAACTCTAGTAAATTTCAAATCACTGTTGACTAGCACATGATCAAATAGTCACTTATTTTTAAATTCCTGGGAGGCAGTATGGCATAGTACCTTGAATTATCATGAGCCCTGTCCCTGTTACTAAGTAACGAAAGGGCTGTATATTTAAGTAAAAAATGTACATGATTAGGCTTGATTCTACATATCTTATGAAATAGTTTTCATTCCTAGCCTCTTGTTTCTTGTTTTGAATGGAAGGCTCCAAGTCTATACATAGGATTGTTTATTAAAGAGGTACTTGTTTATGATTCCTTAGATAAAGTTGCAAATAATGATCCACTGTAGAACTTACTCTGATCTAACCATACTGGTCAATGAGCAATGTACGTTTACAGAATTTTATTTTCCGGAGTGTAGGGTCTGATTAATGTATATGGCAGTGGTTTAAATATCTTGTAATTGTCAAATCAATCTCCTGACTGGTTGGTATGATGGCTAATACATGTGAAAAATTTGTGACTTTTGAAAGTTTAACAGAATGTTCCAGTTCAAATAAAAAAGCCATGTCATATTGGTACCCATAATGGAGAAGGGTTTCAAATTGAAGCAGCCATTTAGGAGCACATTCTACATTGTTTTGAGTATTTGTAGTTTTCTCTAATGCTTCATCACTAGTACTTTTTCCATTTCTGATGGAAGGAGATTCCCAAATTATTAGCACCATGGGAAGATTCTTTATATCAGAGGGGCATACAAGCACTATTTAAAAATAAATGGCAATTCAGTAGTGATTATATAATTATGTGATCCTTTTGGAAATGAAGTTCTTATTTTCTTTCCCAAACCTCACTACAATCTGTTGCCAAGGAAATTACATTCGTGTTTTAAAAGGAGTGCAGTTAATTTGGTTTATTAGAGAGGATATATATCTACAAGAAGTACATTTCTCTGTTATAACAGAATGTGAAATTTTTAGTGTCAGGATTATTTACATAATCTTAGTTTGTGATTTCCCTACTATGTAATATTGTTGTTTAAAGAAGTATTCCCAGTATATTTTCTCTTGAATTGCATTTAGCAACCTTAACTAAGTCCACAAAGGTTTTTAGTTTGATACATTTAGGCACTGTATATTAAACAATCTGAAAACCTAACTTTTCAGAAATGAGATGTGATCTTAATTCCTATATTTTAAGATCTTTTTGATCCTATAAAATGGCACTATGGAAGTGCAAATATTGTATAAGTGTAACATGCAAATACTGAAAATAACTCTAAATTGTGCTTTCCCTTTATTAATTTTTCTGTTTGTAATCTCGTGTGTTTAATTTAGAGGTATTTTCTCTGTTGGATACATTATTAAGGTTATGCATAGTACAAAGCTCTCTAGTTTTTATGATGTACTCATGCTTGTGTTAAAACTGTTTGATTAATAAATAAGTTTTGAAAATGTTATACAGCTTGCCAGTCCCCATCTCTTCTGCTGTTTCCACTATTCCATCCTTCCAAACATGGCCTCTTGCTTTTTTGCCGATGTTTACTTATCTACAAATGCTTTCTGTCAGATACATTGCAACCAATTTAAATTCTGTGTAGTTGTATGTCTGGGTTTATTTCTGTAACACATACGTAAACATATAGTACAAAAACTATTTGTATTGTATTGTTTATAACCTATAATCATTTTAAGAATTTCCTCTATTTTAAAGCCATAATAGTTTAGCTTTGCAATTGTAATATCTTCTACACATTCCAAATAATTCTTGTTTTTGCCTTTCCTTATGAAGGACTAATGCAAATGGCCTTGAAAGCTATGAGGATGCAGAATCCAGTGAAAGCACGACTATTAATGGCAGTGATTCTCCGTTACTCACAAACGGAGGCTTTAAACCTACTAGGCCACCTCGGCCCTCCCGACCACCTCCACCCACTCCTCGTAGACCCTCTTCTGCAGCTGGTATGTATTCCAGTGACAAACATCCATTTAAAAACTATTTATAAGTTAATTCCATTTGAAACAAACATGCCCATTTCTAATATTGTTTCCTCAGGTATACCTAACCCCTTTTTTAAAGCAAAGTTGTTAATCTTTCTGAAATGCTCTGCCTCGTAGAAATGATCTTTCTTCCTGTCTTGGTACATTCTTTTTTAATAATTGTTTTTATCATTAGAAATTTCTCATTCCTGTGTCCTTGAAAGAATGATGGTCAGAATGCAAACACTAAAAGAGGAGGTAGCAGCATTGGCTCTGGAAGACTTGCAGTGGATGTTTTACAGATCAGACCATTTGTAACACTGTCAAAAAGGCTGCTAAAGTCTTAATTTTTTAAATAGAGCAGATGCTTTTGTTACTACTTATGTGCCAGTTGCTAACAAAAGGCTATTACAGTCAGACTTTTCTGGTTAGGTTAAAGTGGCCTCCTTGAGTTTCTTAGGGGATATTATGTGACAAGTGTGCATAGTGTCTATAAAACGTGTGTGTGATGTTACACAATCTGTATTCAGATATATAGGCAGTCCCCGACTTACGCGGATCCGACTTGCGTCGGATCCGCAGTTACGAACGGGGCTGCCCCAGAGTACACGGACTGCGGGACCTCGCGGTCCTGCCGCCCATGTACTCTGGGGCTTTCTCTGCGTCTCCCTGGTCTGCAGACCAGGAAGACACAGAGCAAAGCCGAGGAGGGGCTCGGGCAGTGGGGCAGCCCCGCTGCCCGAGACCCCTTCACCCCCCCCACGCGGCTTTGCAAAGCCACGGGGAAACCGGCGGCGGAGGGGGCTCTGGAA